TTTAGTAGGGGCCGGGGGAAATGGAAGTTTAAACTTCTCAGTATGAAACTGGGAGGGGGGGGGGGGGGGGGGGGGGTAGCGTCCTAACGTTCGTATCGAGACGAACCGACGGCTTGTACGATCGAGCGATCCGGCAGCATTGTTCCAGACGAACCGACACATTGCAGGCACGAACCGAAAGCTTGTATCCAAGAGACAACAGACAACTTATTCGAGTAAACGAATCTACAGCAATGTTCCAGACGAACCGACCCCTTGTGCGGACGAACCTACAACAGCGTTGTTCCAGACGAATCGACAGGTTGCATGATACGAACCGACTGCAGCTTTAACTGCACGCAACACTGGACACGTCAGCGTTCACGGCCGTTTCAAAACATACTCAATTGTTTTTTACTGTCCTTGTGCCTTTGTTTTCGCCTACCTTCGAGCCAGCTCGCGTCTCCCCCCGTCGACGCAGCGAATGGCATCCTCCAGAAAGTTGAAGTCTTGAAGAAAAGAACAAAAAAAACGGAAACGGAGAGGACGGTGTCACCCAAAGCTAGCCGCATGGAGAAAAATGCGTTGTTGTTGTTGTTGTTGTTGTTGTTGTTGTCTTCACAATGAAAATCAATCCGTTCCTTTCTCAGCAGTACCGTTGCATATCAGAACAAGAGGGCTCAGCCACTTGCACCGGACTCACGGTACGCGTAGGCTGCATTGCATACGCAAGATACCGGACCCCCCGGGCCGGTCATTCACAGCTCGGCTATTACAGTACTCCACGACGAAGAGGTTGCCAACACCAGCTACTACGGCTTGACTTCGAATCAGCACTCACAGCGCTTGTGCCGTGTACTCCAATCTGTGGTCACACCTCTGCCACCCCTAATGTACTGCGGTCCTTTGCCACGACGAAGAGGTTATACGTTGTCGGCGGACACGAACGTCATCTGCTACACGACGCTCTATCCGGCCGGAGAAGGTGTTGATTGCTAACTGCGTGAGAAACTTTTGCGATACGGAGTGGCATTGTGGGGGCGGGTCTGGTACACATCGATGAGTCGAACTTCGTCGCTTCACGTTTAAAGTTATTGCACCACCCACTCCAGCCCCCGTCTTTCTGGACGAAATGGCGTCAACGCCGCCGTTTTCGGCGCTGTGACTCTTTCTGGTGGTGATATATCGAGCTTTGAAAATCGGTCCAGGGGGTGTGTTATCTTGTGTAGCTCCGCACCAATACCAAAACCACACGCACGCCTACGGTAAGCTTGATGCAAAACCTTCTGCCCAATCCATGAAAAAAAAAACATTTAAAGTCCATCCTGTCACATGTGCCACCCCACTTGGCCACGAATGCTTTTCGACCTTGTCTTCGGTGTGCCGCATGCATACTTTCTTGGACTTTGGGTTCTTCCAGAATCTTGAAAACCATTTCCGTTTGACGGTGTACGTCTACGCTCGAAACTTACAACTTGAAAAACGGCCAAGGGTGTGTGCGTTATCTTTGCTGCCAGACTGCCTATCGATGGACATTGCTGGCCTAAACAGAATTCGAAGATTACCTACCGATAGACAGTGCTGGCCGCAACATGTACCATCTTTGTACGCAACCTACTGTAGATGCATGCACACTTCGCAAAGCACCGCAGGCCTACCGTAGGTTGCATGATGTAAGAAATCACACCCCCTGGACCGATTCTCGTAGCTCGATTTATCGGCGGGAAAAAGCAGTGACGGTGCCGAAAATGGCGGGAGGCGTTGGAACCGTCTCGTCGAGAGCTTGCCGAAAACACAAACTTTAATATTTCGGCATCCTCTTCTTCGTGGAGTAATCGAGCTTTGAAAATCGGTTCAGGGGGTGTGGTATCTTGCGTCATGTAATACGATCAGTGCCGTTCGCAGGGTTTTTGAATTAAGGAAACATGTTGGATAAAGCATACAATCGGGGGAGTTAGGTTAGGGTTAGGGAATAGGGTCTGCGTGCCCCCTTCCTGTTCTATTTCCGTGTAATATTTAATTTCCCGCGACGTCGGTCCTATATAACGCAGCCTACGGTACTGCTCACCGCTTCTGAGGTGTGCATCGGTGAAGTCCTTCAGGCCAACGAACGCCACCTTGTCTCGCTTACCGTTGCACCCCTCCTGTCCGTTAGGAGCGAAAAAGAAGAAGAAAAAAAATTGCGGGTGTGGGGATGCCGTGTAGGCTCTCGTTGACTTCACGACATCAAACGCTGCGTCTACTTCCCCCCCCCCTTCAACACTCCACCGTCCAGGGTAAAAAGCGGCACATTGTCTCGCTTACCGTTGCACCCCTCCTGTCCGTTAGGAGAGAAACAAAAAGAAAAGAAAAACGTGGCGACTTGAATCCTAGTGGAACTGCCGACAAAACAGTGGCATCAAAATCTCTCTTGTCACAATCTCAATATGCACATGAACCCGATAAACCATATCGAATAGTGGCACGCACTGCCCTGAATAGTCCTCCTGCCCCTACATGCCACTATATCGGGCCACCTACAGTGTGTGTGTGGGGGGGGGGGGGGGGGGGGTTTTCTCGTT